TCGTTCCTGTCTCTGCGTCTGTGGGAACCCCGCGGCAAGCAAGAACGTTATCCAAGTAGGCCTGGGTGCCCTACTTCTGTGATTTATCCCAAGAATCTTCTTCTCATAACAGGAAGAAGCCGGCTCAATCCGCCCAGGGTGAATGCCGCATCAGTAAGTAGCCCAACAACCCATTAAAATCGGTTCCAGACGAGAAGTAACGAAAAACGCTTTCTGATTGGCTAATAAAAAAATCCTTAATTTCATACGTTCTCAACTATGTACGCATCATATCGGTCTAATGTGTATCCTAAGCAGATACAAATTTGCGCAAAATTTCTTGGACCCTCCCACTTGACTTGAAACATCAATAAATACGAAACATTCGACTTCGACAGTGAGTCTTACAAATTTTCTTAAATCGACACACGAATCCATATCACATATCTTACCAGGCTTAAAATTAAATTTACTTAACATTTTCACAGCTTGCGAAGTACACTCACTCAACTACATAAACTCAACAGAAACCATCAAGTGACACATTCAATGAAAGAGAGACAACTTCATACACAGAACAGTAAGTCGAGTACAATATTACAAAATTCAACACCAAAAACAAACTGTTTAATTTTCCTACAGACACAAAAATATCTTATCAAACTTACCCATTTTTATACACACAATTTCTCAACTCTTAATCTTTCATATAATATCTTCTTAAACACTTCATTCCACACTTTGAAAAAAACAAACTTTGAAGCAATTTAAACAACTCCCAACATAAAATTTTATATCTTTTATTGGTTATATAAAAATATTTATTATTGAACCAAAGTATTGTTTCATATCGCTATTTCTCTTGTTATTTGCTTGCTTTTTTGTTACATTTGTGAAGTTAAAAAAAAGTAATGGGTTAATCGCATTTCCATCAACCCTTTACAGATTGGTAAACCAGTAGGGATGGATCTTCGACGTAAGTCGAGGATCTCCTGTATATATTTATAAACTTGAAGAAGGACACAAATGTGAAAGTACTTCTTACTCTTGCAAATATACATCCATTGCTCGCTTAACGACAGTGTCCTGTTTCAACGACTTAGTCGCTTTTCGAGCAGGTCGCTAAATGAAAAGTTGTGCATGATCGCTATTTCAGGCTTGCAATGGGTCTGTGTCAACCAACTTCATATATATTTGACACTTTTGTACCATTTATAAGACTTCTGATGTATTTCTAAATATTTATACTATCCATTAGTGCACTGAACAGTAAGTTTAATAAACAGATTCGAAAATCAGCTTCATATCATACGTTACATCAGTTGACATATTGCAAATACAGAACATGTAAATGTTTGTTTATTAGAAATATTTTGCAACACGCGGTAAAAATGTGGTAAAATCCTTATAGTATTTAGTATTGAAGTTACCGCTAACATTTTTGTCAAGATTTACCAACTCTACATTTCGTTCAATTTCGAAAACCAATCGATGAAATTTGAATAAGCTGATTTGATTGGAAAAAATACTTTGACAAAAACCCTACTACGCGGTTTAATAATTTCTTTAATTTAATTTAATTTTATAGGACTTCATGGTAAACAATATTTTTTAATTTGTTTTTGATCGGTTTTAGAAGGTATGACGCACCTACTAACAGACGGACTAACGGAAGTCACAGAATTTTATATATAGATTTTTAATTTATTTATTTTGTTTACGCTTTATTTAAAATGAATCAATCGCGATCAAAATTCGCGTATATCAAACAATACTGAATGTAAATGCATATACTTCTCACTGAACGACCTACCTATTTAATGGCAACTCAGACATATGACTAGTTATAACGAGTGACAGAACTAATTTCAACTCGGAACTAATTTCAACTCGGAATTCATTTCAACTCGGAACTAATTTCAACTCGGAACTAATTTCAACTCGGAATTCATTTCAACTCGGAATTCATTTCAACTCGGAACTAATTTCAACTCGGAACTAATTTCAACTCGGAATTCATTTCAACTCGGAACTAATTTCAACTCGGAACTAATTTCAACTCGGAATTCATTTCAACTCGGAACTAATTTCAACTCGGAACTAATTTCAACTCGGAATTCATTTCAACTCGGAACTAATTTCAACTTGATTTAAAATCAAAGTTATAGATAAAATAATTCAGAATTAATCTTTTCTTTGACTTTTATTCTTTTTTGTTGCAAATGAATAAAGTGATACTTTTTTATTTACTTTTATTCATCTAAATCTGATCAAATAAAAATGCAATGTTCTTTGTAGCAAGAACAGTAGATTGTTTAGCCGTTTTTTTTAAAAAAAGAAGCCGTTATTGATCAAAATTTAAGAAAATCAATAAATTAAATTTTAATTTCGTATGAAATCTTCACAGATTTATTGAAATTTAAATCTGTGTACCGAGGATTTCATAGATTTTACATTCGTAAATAGAGAAATCTGTTACAAATTACAATGTAAAAAAAATTAAACAATTTCAAAACAAGATATGAGTTCTGAGTTGAAATTAGTTCCGAGTTGAAATTAATTCCGAGTTGAAATTAATTCCGAGTTGAAATTAATTCCTCACGCCGTTATAACATCTCATGAAATAAGAAATTAAAATCTGGCTGGATTTTAATTTTTTATTTCATGAGATGATATAACTGGTCGTATGTCCGAGTTGTCGTTAAATAGGGAGGTCGTTAAGTGAAAAGTATATACATTTACATTCACATTTTTTACTTTTACAATGATATTCACCCTGTACGAGGCTCAAGAGACACTCAAGGTAGAGAGTTAAAATTAGAGGCACAGTTTACGGAGCCATGCAAAGAAGATAATGGGTGAACAGGTTAAGATTGCAATGACTGGAGAAGCATCCTCTTGGAAGTCCGTTCCGCAAAGCCGTGCTCGAGTGGAACTTACATTTCACCAATACGAAGGGAATGAGGGTAGTTAGCTACAATACGCGTGGCATAGTGGGTCTTGTCCGTGAAGGTTTGTTTGAACACTTTAGATATACAAAATTAATGAGAAAAATAGTTACAATAAGACATTTAAAACGTTTAGAAAATAGTCAAACGTCAATAGAAATATTATGATTGAATCTCCTTTACAAATAGCAATCAGTTTCTTTTTTTTGTTTGCCAAACGAAAATGTAATCCGTTTTGTCGTTCAGGCAATTTCCCACCCCCATCAGATTTTATATTTTTCAGGCCAGAGAATTTTGCTTCATATATGCAAATGCTACCAAACAGTAGAACGTCACAAGGCAATTCATCTTTTACAAATCTCAATCGGTTTCATTTTTTTTTTTTTTGTCAAACGAAGACGTAATCTGTTCTTTTTCGTTCACGTGATTCCCCCACACCCCACCCGGCTTGGATTTGATATTTTTTAGGCCGGAGAATTTTGCTTCATATATGTAAATGCTACCAAACAGAAGAAAGTCACAAGGCAGCCATGACAATCGGATAGCTGACACGGAAGTTCAGAATTCTTTACCAATGATGTCAGCAAAGCAGGCGAAGATGAAATTGCCATATTCAGTAGCCATTTACCGACAGAAAGTAAAGTATGCAAATGTTTAATTAGGCATATTTAATATTTGTTACATAAGATATAATGAGCTTCAATTAAACTCTATAAGGGTCGCATCTATTATAGATAGATAGATAGATAGATAGATAGATAGATAGATAGATAATGAACACACTAAACTAGATACATGGATAGGTATGAATTTATATATCTATCTATCTATCTATCTATCTATCTATCTATCTATCTATCTATCTATCTATCTTAGTATGTTCATTGTCTAACCATCTATGTTCATATCTATCTATCTATCTATCTATCTATCTATCTATCTATCTATCTATCTATCATGTTCATATCTATCCATATTCATATCTATGTTCATATTTACCTATATTCATATTTATCTATGCGCTTTATCTATGTTCATTATCTATGGTCATTATCTATCTGTGTTCATTATCTATATATATCTATGTTCATTATCCTCATTATCTATATATTTATGTTCATGATATGTCTATGTTCATTATCTATCTATCTATCTATCTATCTATGTTCATTATCTATATATCTATTTTCATTATGTTTCTATGTTCATTATCAATCTATCTAATTTTAGGGAACTGAAATTATCGTATATTTAATTTCGACTTCAATTTTCGACGGTCGACTCCAGATAGATCAAGGATTTCGAATGCTGAATTTTAAAGAAGGCAATCATTTCCCATCTGTAAGATTGACCCTACACAAGCTTACATTCCACGCCCCATCGTCAGTACATATTCTTCGCCACTTAAGTAGCTTACACCTCTAATTGGACCTGTTCTTCTAGAGAACTACTTCATTCTGTTTAGTATTTATCTTCGTGAGAGAAAATGCCGGTCGACATGAATTGCATCCAAAAACACACATCGTCATTTCTTTATTCGATTTTCTTCTACTGAGTACTGACGACGTCCTTCTCTCTTTGACCCCCCCCACTACCGTCTCTATCATCTTTCACTTGCTGTAAAGAACATACATGTCAATACAGGAACCCTATATGTACATTTCATTAATTGCCGATCTTCTTTGCTGGAAAAGTCAACACAAATGTAGTTCAGATTTTTTTTGTCTGCTTTGTATTGGTGAGACACTCACAAAAGAGAGAGGTGGTCGGTTCGCCTTTCACGGACGTCCCCGAAAGGTGGGCACTTGATCGGCCGATAAGTTTGTGCAAACCGTTCGCCCGATATTAAAGTAGATGGAATAAACCAAATCCTGAAAAAAACTAAGAAAACAAGTTCTTGCTCCAAAACGTCGGGGTGGGCTTTCACAAGAGACAGACAAATCCTAGTAGTCACATTTAGCTTTTTTTTTTTTTTGGGGGTTCGGACTCGATCAACACATTATTTTCCATCGTAAAATCCATCATTAATTATACCCCCCCCCAGAAATTCAGTATTAATTAAAGGATTAGCCTTATGGCCATATAACGTCGAAACACCAGTTCTCACCCGAACACCGAAGTTAAGCAACGTTGAATCTGCTCACTACCTGAATAGGTGACCGCTCGAGAATACCAAGTGCTGTAAGCTTGGGTGTGGGGTGGTGTAATGGATAACGTCTCGGAATGAGATATCGGAAAGCCGGGTTCGAATTAAATTCTCATACGTGCAAATACTCTTGAAAAAAGGCATGAATCCACATCTTCTCCTTCCAGCTATCGGTTAAATAGTAAGAATTGTATCACAAACATCATTATTAAGTCAACAAATTCTTATAATCCCAAAAATATGTTTCAGCTTTAAATAACGTTAAAAAAGAGTTGATAAGTCGTAAAAACAAATCAATTAAATTATAGGAGTCTAAAAGAAACAAAATACATTACTTAAAGGATGTGCAGGTAATGTAACACATATCAGAACTGAAAGATGAATCAGAGAGCCGAGTTCAAATTCCGGGTTAGCGGTGTATTTTCCCTCTCATGCTGGGGGTGCAGTGTGGTGGTGGTTTTCTTGGGCGACGGTGCCAAATTGATACAAAAGCTGCATTCTTCTCTCTCGTCCGACGATAGCTCGTCGTTTTTGGTTCAAAGATGAAATACATCAACGCAGGGTATTTTAACTTAGCGAGTTTATTAACGTTGACGTATACATCTTCTAACTATGCAGTGGGCCTCTCTCTCTCTCTCTCTCTCTCACTGGGGAGCCGTTTCAGACACGAAAGAAAACACGTCTACATTGACGGTTAAGAAACAATTCACTGAAAAACCTTTCTATATATCTATCTCATTTCCGATGCTAGCTCAGCCAGTCAAAATCGACTTCTTTGTTTTGTCTTTCATCTGACCTCAAAGGTCAACCTCAGGAAGTCGTAGCAGCGATACACTTCCTCTAAAAAATAATAGTCTGCTAAACTATAATTTCATATTAGTCTGTAGCGTTCACTTGCTGTAAAAAACATACATGTCAATACAGGAACCCCACATGTACATTTCATTAATTGCCGATCTTCTTTGCTGGAAAAGTCGACACAAATGTAGTTCAGATTTTTTTGTCTGCTTTGTATTGGTGAGACACTCACAAAAGAGAGAGGTGGTCGGCTCGTCTTTCACGGACGTCCCCGAAAGGTGGGCACTTGATCGGCCGATAAGTTTGTGCAAACCGTTCGGCTGATATTAAAGTAGATGGAACAAACCAAATCCGGAAAAACTAAGAAAACAAGTTCTTGCTCCAAAACGTCGGGGTGCTTTCCTATGCTAGCTCAGCCAGTCAAAATCGACTTCTTTGTTTTGTCTTTCATCTGACCTCAAAGGTCAACCTCAGGAAGTCGTAGCAGCGATACACTTCCTCTAAAAAATAATAGTCTGCTAAACTATAATTTCACATTAGTCTGTAGCGTTCACTTACGCACAAATGCCGGTGGAAAAGGTATGGATCCGTATCCATTCCTCCCAGCTACAAGTTGAATGACAGGGTAAACTGGAATCTCTAGCCGGGCGTGGTAACCAGTCTAAGAAGGAAAACCCTGAATTCCAAACTGTGAAGGTGGCAACTGGAAATCATTCTATTATCTTTAACGAGAATACATGTTAATTCGTAGATAATAAAGAAAGGGATATGACATTTAACCCGATTTCTACAATCTTGCGCGAACGTAGAATGCGCTTTGCAGGACACTGCTGGCAAGCGAAACAGGAACTCGCGAGTGAACTACTGTTCTGGACACCTAGCCATGGAGCAAGACGAGTTGGTCGCACAGTAAGCATCTAGATTGACCGTCTATGTAATGACAGAGGATGCCATTCTAATGACGTCTCGATCTTGATGCTGGACGGTGATGGTTGGCGTGATAGACTCATGGATGTCCGTGCTATCTTGACCGAATAATAAAAAAGCTATAAAATATTAATTATCACTGTCCTAATTTTGGGACGATGGGTATTAATTGCTTGAGAGAGAGAGAGAGAGAGAGAGAGAGAGAGAGAGAGAGAGAGAGAGAGAGAGAGAGAGAGAGAGAAAGTTATAAAGGGGTAGACAGTAAACCCACCACAAAGACCAATTCACTAATGTAGTGAGTTTGATCCTCATTTGGTGCGTCCTGGGTAAGACGATAAACTACATCCGCGTCCTGGGTTAGACGATAAACTACATCCGCGTCCTGGGTATGACGATAAACCACGTCCGCGTCCTGGGTATGACGATAAACTACGTCCAACAACCAGGCCGCTGGTCAGGAGGTTTTGAGGAGCATAGAATCACCTCTTAATTGCTGGTGTTTCCAGCTTCACCCTGACTATTAGGGTCCCATCTAGGGGTAAATAGTTAAGCTGGGGTCAAAACCCTATGAAAGTGTAAAAATAGGTTTTCATACAGATATACTTTGTAAATAAATTTTTGAAAAAATATTACCAGATATACAGTATTAAAAAAAATACCAACAATAAAAATCTTGTCGGCATTAAATAACCCATTGAGGTTGATATGCCGTAAAAACAAACCAAACCAAACGATACCAAACTTCTCGTAATAGACCTTTCGAAATCTTTCCTATCTGCACAGTTTTGTATCCAAAAATAATCATGGCGATTTTTTCTAAAGAAAGTAAATTTTTTTTAGTTTTTTAATCCGATAGACTGTTTATCACATTCAACGTTATATATATATATATATATATATATATATATATATATTACGGTAAAAAACAAAATTACCCCAGCATGAGAATAGTCTATTTTTTGGCTGATCTGAACCCAGCTGTCTTAAGTGTTTATCTGAAAGGGAGGGATTAGAATTTATTTTCAATATCAGTTCTTCGAGAGACGTCTTGTTTATGATAAGGCATATTGAAAATAAATTCTAATCCCTCCCTTCCAGAAAAAAAAAAACACTTAAGAGCTGAAGACGGCTGGGTTCAGGTCAGCCAGAAATAGACTATTCTCATGCTGAGGTAATTTTTGTTTTTACCGCAAAAAATATATATGCTGTTTTATAATAAAGACATTGAACTCTCAGTTTTAATATTTGTTATTACTAGGATCCACCTGGATTATTTTCCAGCCAACCTATTACCTGTACTATATATATATATATATATATATATATATATATATATATATATATATATTTATATATCTATTTATATCTATCTATCTATCTATCTATCTATACATATATAATGAAATAATTTATTTTTAATCCGACATTGTTATTATTTTAAACGTTATTTGCTGGATACTCGCATTTGAATTAGACACCTTGCATTTTAAACGGTGTGTATCCTGTCTATCGGCCAATACAATTCTTTCGTGTAATGTATTTGCTACATGTGGTCGAATGAGAGAAGAACACGAAACCAGTTACATGATTAACGTATACGTATATTTAAACATGAAAATGTACAAAAAAAACAAAGAAAAACTCCTAAAAAATTCAGCAACTAGTAGTTATATTGGTCGGCAAACATTAGCAACTGAGTTCAAATTTCGTTTGGGTTCTGCTGCCCTTTCCGTGCGGTCTGAAGTAGTCAAGGGAGTTCAAATAAGCAGACCCTATCCTTAGTTTGATATCTCATTCTCTTTCCAACCGGTTCAAGCCTGTAAACTTTCAACCTATTATGCTCCCCCAAACGCGCTTATAGTAGCAATTCTTGTAGCCATCTCTTGTCTACTAAGTTGTAAGCAGTCAATACACCATTTCTCACATCCTGGCATTTACAGCCTTACGACTCGAAAGGTAAAAATTTGCCAGCTATGCAAATTGGCCTAAAACTTTTCTTAATTCCACCTTAGATTCGCCTGTTTTTCTAAAAACACTTCCTTATTTCTTATGTTTTTAAACAACAAGGCGTAAGTATCTAACACCTATTGTTTTAATTGAGATTGAAGCACTGTAACATCCCAAAAGAGAGCGGGCACCACAAGTGGGGGGGATATCCTGAAAAATCAACTTTATTTTGTCACATTCCATGAGAGTGTCTTGTTCAGCCTATGAACATTTCAGCCGCCTTCGTAGACATAACTTTTTTGACAACATCTTGGCATTTTTGGAACGTTACCTTTGAAATTCAAACATACGCCTGTCGTATAAGTGACGCCATGTGTAAAACGCTTTCACAGTGCTAAATCCGAGAAGATAGATCTAAAATTGAGCTGGCATTGTTACTATCATGACCTCTATAAACAGAAAGGGAGAATAAAATAACAAAAATAAGGTATTATTATAAATCAAGGTTTCTGTTGAAACAGACGATACATTTACGCCCGAACAAGTTCCAAAAGATTTACAGTATCAATTTCTCGTTCTTCCGATGTTAAAGCCGAAGTTAGATTGATAACTTAAAAAGAAACAAAAAAAAAAAACACACTTCCTTTCGTACAATTTATGTGCGGGCATCCGGAGTTTCAAACCCACGCCGAATTAACTATTTCTGTGAGAGAAGGGAATTTGCAATATTAGCCGGCGTTCAGTAAATGCTACTTCAGATCTAAATCTGTATCTACTATAACTATCGTGAACAACTGTTTTTTTTTTTCACTAACAGCTGAAACTTGTTTCATTTGGCAGAAACATTTTTCAGGTATTTTGTGGTTAACGGCTGTACAATAGATTCTACCGAGCGGAAAATAGTTTTTTTTTTTGTCTTATGGCATATCAAATTAATGGGTTATTAATCATGATAAAATTTTTTTATTGCTGGTAATATTTATTTCCCAAAAATGTATTGCTGGTAATTTTTTCTTCAAAAATGTATTGCTGGTAATAATTTTTTCTTCAAAAGTGTATTGCTAGTAATAATTTTTTCTTCAAAAATGAATTGCTGGTAATAGTCTTTTCTTCAAAAATGTATTGCTGGTAATAATTTTTTTCTTCAAAAATGTATCGCTGGTAATAATTTTTCTTCAAAAATGTATTGCTGGTAATAATTTTTTCTTCAAAAATGTATTGCTGGTAATAATTTTTTCTTCAAAAATGTATTGCTGGTAATAATTTTTTCTTCAAAAATGAATTGCTGGTAATAATTTTTTCTTAAAAAATGTACTGCTGGTAATAATTTTTTCTTAAAAAATTTGTTGCTAGTAACGATTTTTTCTT